CGGGGTTTATATACAGGGTGTTAAGAAGGTTGTGTCTCACTGCAATATGCCTATAACCTCAGCAAAAAAAAAACAAAAATCAGGAAGAAATTTTAATGTACAGTAACAAGAACAGTTGACTAATTTAGAACTACCTAATAGTTTTCAATATAGCACAGATGACAAAGTTCAAACGACCCATGACTGATTTTCACAAGTCTTCCTGTGGAATTCACTCCCATTCTCAGTTCAGGGAAAGCTTGAGAGAATCCAAAGAACAGTGTTTTGTAGCACAAACTTTGCTCCCCAAGATGAACCAAATTGAAACATCTAAGGGGTTGACATTGAGGGAGAAAGGGGGCCATTGTGAAGTTGAAATGAAGTCAGGGACATTTGTCCGCAGCCATTCCTGGGTCATCCACACCTTGTGAGCTGGGGCTCAGTCCTGCTGGAAGACCCAGCTGCCTCCATTAAAATGATTCATGGCCCATGATCCAGACAGTCTTCTAGGATGCCTTTCCAGTATACCTCAGCCTTAACCTTCATCTTAGGCATGAAAAAGAGCAGAGTGCTTCCAGAAGCGGTAATCTCAGCCCAGACCATTACAGAAGCCACCCCTTGATGCCAAGTGGCTTGAAAAAAATCATATTTCGATTTTTCAATTTGGTTCATCTTGGTGAGCAAAGTGTGTGCTACAAACACTGTTCTTTGGATTCTCTCAAGCAATACCTGAACCAAGAATGGGAGCAAATTCCACAGGAAGACTTGCAAAAATCAGTCGATGCTTTCATGGGTCATCTGAACCTTGTCATCTGTGACAAGGGTGGCTATATTGAAAACTATTAGGTGATTCTAAATTATTCAACTGTTCTTGTTTTTGTACATAAAAAAATGTCCTGATTTTTGTTTCTTTCTGAGGTTATTGGCATATTGCAATGGTACACAACTTTCTTAACACCCTGTATATTTTGTGATACCCCCTCACCTCTCTCCAACAAGGAGGTGGACCAGGGTTTCCAAGGCACCAATGCTGCTTTGCACTTTTCAAAATCCTCACATCTCCCAGCCAATGATAAAATTATTATATTGTGATGCTGCTAAAAGACTGTGATACCGTCCCAAGACAAAAATCATTCAGCCCTAGTACACAGCTATTCAGGGTGACACAACTTGGTGTTGCTGCTCAGAGGGATTTATTTCAGCATAAATGGGTCATATGACCTTGAGTCTTGGTAGAGCAGTTTAACTCTTGTCCAGACTAGGTATTTTTGTGACATGGATAGGTAAGGGTAAAAAAAGTTTAGTTTCTTTAAAAGTAAATCAACATTTATCAAATTAATTTTTGGATCTATGGATAACTGTCTATGAAAGAGACATTACATTTGTAGAAAGTTAGAAAAAATTTTAAAAGAGTAACGCAATGAAATATACACTAAAGGATAGGAGCTCCATTGCTTGGATAAGGTATAAGACCCCATGGGGAGAAAGATTATAGATCCATCATCACTGCCAATAGGGGGTGGCACACATCAGATGGTAGTGGCTACCATTACCATTTATGGTTGTTGCTTGTAAAAGTCAAAACTGCCAGAGAATTGGCAATGATGAAGGACTCATATGCCATGCAGTTGCTTGTTCACCTCCAATGTTGCAATCAGCAGTCAGTCATCTCCCCTGAGTGGATACTGTCATTGAGGAAAATTGTGAATATTTCATGTATTCAATATACAGGGTGATATTTTAGGGTGTTTTTCATTTCTTAGTGTTTACTACACTAAGAAATGAAAAACACAAAGGGACCTGGAATCAGAGAAATATGAAACTTGGTAGTATTATAGTACAACCCTTATAGAGTGCTGCACTTTGTAATGAAAGATTATATCTCTCACACAGAGAGCAGCATTGTAGTTTGCATCATGATAGGGTTAAGCTTAGAACAGCAAGTGTTTGTACTGGAAAGATATGTGAAAAATGGTTAATTTAAAGTGTGTCAGGCAGAATTTGGTAAAAGGTTCGGAAGGGGAAATTTTTTCAGTAAAGCTGGAATATGGAAAATTGTTCAATTCAGGACAGGTAGTGTATTGAATCAAAAGCTTGCATGCATGACAACTGTTGTCACAGAAGAAGCAGTAGGGAATATGCAAGGCATAACGTAATGTAGCCCATCAAAATCTGTTGTGAACCCCATTATTTAAATTCTGATTTTTCATTTAATTTTCAATCAATTGATTGAACGATTGATCAATTTCCTTGTTTCTCTCCTGATTTGTGTTTAATGTACATTTTTTGGGTTTACCAATAAAAAATCACCCTGTACTTGTACCTATTTCAACTGATGTATGGCACCCCCTATGTTTGACAATGATAAACTCATTAACCTCACTATGTAGCTTATTGAATTTATGGATCACCCTGCATATGCAGTATGAGAGATATTTATGTTCAAAGTTGGGATTCTTCTTCGCCATACCCTGTATTCTCAAACTGGAGAAGTATAGTTCAGTCTGTCAAGAGATGCTGTATTGGGGCATTGTTGGAGCAGTACAGGAGCAAGATACTCAGAAAGGGAATGAAAAGAGCTTATTCTTGGGTTCAATTTAGTTATTTCTAGGCTCCTTGGAGACATGGCTCCCTGGGCGAAGTGCTGGATTCGCTCGGTTTCCCCTCATCCCGAGATGCATGGGATCCATTCACGTCACAGTCCATGGTTCCCCTTGCCTTGTCTGTCTCCAAGCCCTGTTTTTGTTTGTCATGTCCTGGCATTCTCAAGTGCTGTATTGGTACTGATATCTATATTCTTGACGTATCTCCTGTCAGGATACTCTATTTTCATTCCCTTACAGCGTGTCTCAGAAAAAATGCCAGCTCTAAGCAACAGTAAATTTAGATGGAAAAATCCAATGATCCCAGTTGAAAATGGCTCCAGTTTTGACTACTGTAGGTCACAAATTTGCACCTTTTTTTTCCTTCAAATGGATTGAGCTGAATGTTTCTTGCTATAAGTTAACAGATTTTAAGCTAAAATTCCAATGGAAACTGGAAACTTGAACCAGAAAATGTTACTTGTTTTTCATCACTTCATCTTCAAGGGTGGTTCAGATTTGACCTTGACTTTTGTTTATAAAAGGTAGATTAATATATACAGGTTAAAAATTTGGGGAGTTGGTCTTTATAGAATTGATAACCCATACCAACAATCACATGTTTCCTGCTTTATTACATGTGCTGAAAATCAAGATGGTAGCAGTTGAGCTAAGGTGGAGGTGGAACAGCAAATAATTAAAATTTCTAATCAATGGGAACATCAAACCTGTTGAATTTTACAGATGATTGCACATTATGATGATGATTGCCTCAACAGGCATCTGTATAGAAATAAGGTGTTCTCTCATCTATTGAGAAACCTTAAAAATTGCTTAAAGATCCCAGGCCTTGAATATTGTAATATGAATGAACAATAATACTTTTCTGTCAACATGAAATGCCCAGTAGAAGTGGTGTTCTATGATGTCACAGGTGTTTTGTAGCAGCAAAAAATTGAACAATGTGTGCTTGATTTTGATTGTGGTGATGAAGAAATTCTTAAGAGTAGTGAAGAAAGCATTGATGAAAGTACAGAGAATGAGTTCAGGGGCTTGTCCCATTGCTTCTGCTGAACTTCATCTAAATTTAATCTGAAACTAAATCTAAATCTAAATTTAAACCTTGTCTAAACTTAACTGATAGCAATGTAATAAGCAGCTGAGGGAACTGTCGACCCTCACTTCAGTGCTGAATGACTGCTTTTAGATTAGGCTGAGATTAAGTTTAAATTTTTTTTTCATTTTAGCAAAGATGAGGAACAGGCCCTAGCTCTGATTCCAGAAAGGAGAATACACCAAGATTTCTTTGAGGCCCACAAATGCATCCCATTAGACCAGCCTTACATCTAAATTTAGACAAGTATATTATGAATGGATGATATCTGTGAGAAAATTTGTCCCTGGAACCTTTTTATGAACAGCTACAACAGGTTGTGCACTAAAAACTCAGTACTGGTGGGCACCCAGCTACTCAAAACTCACCAGTTAAATGGTTAAAGATGGACATGGGAATGTTTAGAATGAAGAAATGCTGACTGGCGAGGTGGCTGTGGTCTTACAGTATGTTGTTAATTTTAGTGGTGTAATTCACACTTTCACATCTCAATTTTCAGCTCATTAACCCATCCATATAAAAAGACGTACAGGTATGTCACGCAGCATCTGGCCCGTATTACTGAGGACATACTTTTATGCAGTGTTATTTGAGCGACCATACCTCAGGAATCACTGAAGCTATACTAATGAAGAAAAAATTTGTGCATAGTACGCTGTCTCCTCTTGTTTAGTTATCAAGTCCATTGTCTCACCATATCTGGGAGACACAAGAGGAACCTCAAAGAAGACCAGTTACTTGCATAATAACTGCTGTTGAGTGTTGAGAAAGGAATTAGAGAGAAAATTTATTATGACTCTGATTTAATCTAGTTTCAGGTAACCAATTGTGAGGGATTATATGTTTTTGATTATGATGAGTGATAATTATGATGAATAATTGGAATCAGACGCAGAAAACGATTTTGATCTGGATTTAAGTGATGTGACTGAGACTGAAATTAGTGAGGCATAATCATCCAGTGAATCTGACCATAAATCAGATGAGTCATGTGCTTCTGACCTTAATGAACCAAATCCATCTCTGCCCTGAGCTAAAGTTCCAAAGATTGCAAATAAGCTCAAATGGAAATATATTGTTGTTTCTTCAGTGACTATTTTTATCACATAGTGACAGAAAGTAGCCACTTTGCCAAAGACAGTTTCGCTACAAACTTCACTCCTGTGACAAGGGATGAGCTTCTGACCTACCTTGCCCTGTGTATCCTAATGAGACTGGTATGCAAACCTACTGTCCAATCTTATTGGTTGCTCAAGGGACACAATGTATGTATGGAGACACCATTCAATAAAGTCATGCCTTAGGTAAGGTTGAGTGCCATCAGTATGTATCTGGAATTAGCCTACAATGCTACATCTGGCTCCAACAATCGACTGAAAGAAAGTGTGGTCAGCTCTTGAGCTTCTTCAAGGCAGATTCCAAAGGCTCTATACTCTGAGTGAAGACATCTTGATAGATGAGTCCAAGGTCCAATAACAGACTGCCACAAGGTTCTGTCCTTTCTCTGTCGCTCTTTAACCTCTACACGAGCGATCTACCACAAATGACCTCCAGAAAGTTTTCTATGCCAACATTGCACTCATATCACAGGGTGACACCCTCACCACTGACCTGGATGCTTTAGCAAAGTTTTTTCCAAAAATGGAGACTCCACTCAAACCCAACTAAAACATCAGTCACCACATTCCACCTTGACAACCATGGCGCTAAAAAAGACTCTTCCTGTCCCCTTCTGCAGCCATCAAGTAAATAATGAGGGCAAGCCAAAATATCTAGGCATTACCCTGGACCGCAGCCTTACCTTCAGACCTTACCTTGAAAGGACATGTGACAAAGTGAAGGCTAGGGTCAGCATCGTGCGAAACTGGCCGGAACCTCATGGGGTGTAGGGGTGCGCACACTATGAACAGCGTCACTAACGCTGGTTTACTCACCTGCAGAATACTGTGCTCCAGTTTGGTTGAGCAGTACACACACCAAGGACTTGGATGCCAAACTCAGTGCATCAATGTGTCTGATTATGGGAACTCTAAAGTCCACCCTTGTCGAATGGCTACCAACGCTCTCTCATATTCCACCTCCCAACATCCACAGAGATGCACAGACATGCATCTTTAGCTGAATAAAAGCCAACCCTGATCTTCTAAATCAGGAGGACCTGGCCAGAATCCTGGAACCCATCCTGGATCAGAGCTATTGCTCTCAACACATCCTCCTTTGCCCTGGAGGAACTGTGGAAAGCCATGTGGGTCAAAGCCATCATCCCCAACTAAAGGCTCATTTCTGATTCCACCACAGAAGTTGCTGGCTTCAACCTGCCATGGAGGCAGTGGACCATGCTCGACTGAATCCATACCTCACACGGCTGATGTGCCCACCTCTTGCACCAGTGGAAAATCAAGACCACTCCCAGATATGACTGCAATTTCAAAGACCAAACCATCCAGCACATTATTCAACAGTGCCTACTCTGTTCATTTGCAGGAACCATGGACAATATCCATGAGCTTACCCCAACAGCCTCCAACTGGATCTCCAACCTTGACATAAACTTATAAATATTGCTGATTATTCCCCCACCATATGCAAGAAGAAGTCCAAGGTAGATGTGTCCATTAGTAAACCATGAATTACAGCAACATATGTTCAATTAAATGTTTTATTGCTTTTGCTGGTTGAAACATGCTCACACACTCCTGTGCACTCGGCCACACACTGATGTGGGCCAGGGAGGGAGACTGTGTGACCATGAAAATTAACTTGAGCTGAGTCAAGGATGATGCGGATAGGTTAATAAAGCAAGAAGGACATGATTGTGGGTATGGGTTTCCAACACTGTAAAGACAAATTATTCCAAGTATTTAATCTTCATACATTACTCAGCCTTTTGTAAGCAAAAGTCCAAATCAAATTTGAACCATCCTTGTAAATGACAGATCTAAAATTCAAAAGAAAAGTTGTCAGTTGTCTAATGATGACCAAGTAAGTCATTTTCAATTCCAGCTTATCATGTCTATTAGTTATAGAGAATAATTAGATCTAGAACCATTCTCACATATACCAGATATAATTTCCTTGGAAGTGAATTTCAGCATTATGCAGCATATTGTCCTCTTGGACTCCATGCTAGGATTTTCTATCCAGAAAGGCAGAATGTTCTTGCTCTAAATTCCTGTCTGGAAGTTATATGCATATGGCTAAAAAATTTAATGGAATATTTTCAACTGAAAAAAAACTTTCACAAGCACATAATGTGCAAAAAATCTTAAAGCTGGAATTTTTTTCCTGTTGGGTAAATAGAAATGTTATCTATTTGGAGAGAATAATGCATAATGGCTTTTGCTACTTTTTTCTTTAGACTCCTGATCCCAAGCTGATGCAGATCAACCTCACTGGTTTTCTAAATGGAAAGAATGCTCGCATTTTCATGGCAGAGCTTTGGGACCTTCTCTTGTCAGCCATGGAGAGTGCCTCTGGCATTCCTGAAAAGTTCCTGGAGCAGAAGAAAGAGGAGATTCGCAAGAGAAACGTCTGTTATTGCATATTGTGCTTATTGGTTCTATTATCTCATTATCTGAGTGAATTACAGTGCTTGAAATAAGCATAATCAATATCTGCTGGGAGGCCCAAGTTTCATCAGTGATCATCAACATATTTGAACTTGAAGAATTTTGGCACTGATCCTTTCTAATGTTTGATTGCTTGAAAGAAATCATTTAAAATTTTGAATTAGATCCTTTCCAAAAAATGTGGTACAAACCTCATAGTGCTGCAAAAGCCACAAAATATATGGAGGTTTGGAGTGAAATTCCATTAGTTTAATGTAAGGGAATGATATATAACATTATTACTTCAGGCATAAGTATAAATACTTTCAACTCTAAATGGATCTGACTACTTCTACTGTTAGGTACAAAACCAAAAAAATGGGTGCACTTTGTCAAACAAAATANAGGACTTTTTTTTCAAACACCATATGAAAATCAAAATTAAATATAAGAAATATCTAAAGTAAAAGTCAAGACAGTGCCTTGGTTACCAAGATTGCAGAAGTTTTTTTTGTCTTGATTGCTTTCCATCTGCCTCTGGCAGGACCTGAATATAGATTTTGTTTATGACAAGCAAGCAGAACAAAGTGTAAGTGTCTATATGTGAGTCTACTGAAAGTATTTAAACTGATTTGAAACCTTAGAAAATATCCCTCCACATAATCAAGTTGGTGATTCCATGACCAATCAACCAATGGATAACACCCATCATCTCCACTTTTTATTAGATTTTGCATGCATGGTTCACCTGCCCCAAATCCAGAAATGTCAAATTTCAGCCTTATTGGGTGAGTAGGTTGAATGCTACAGGGTGGTCAAAATGTAGAATTGCCTGCTAACCTCTGATTTTAATATTCTTGTTGCTCAAAAACTATTCTTGCTAAGCCTTGATTAAGGTATCATTTTGCTGGAAAATGCATGAGAAATTCAATATTAGCAATACACAATCACTTGAGTCAAAAGCACCCAATGTTGTTTATTAGTAAAAAGTTTGACCCCTGAACCTGAGATGGAACTCAAAATAATTCCATGAAAAAGTCAATATCTTGCTACTAATATGAAAATTTTCAAAATTAATCTTTTTCATATTCTGTGAATAAATATTTGAATCAGCAGATCCCTACCACCTATGAGGCATTCCAGCTCAAGTGATAAGATGATGGCTTTGTGTGACAGGGATTTGCTTGAGAGAATTCATGCATGTCTTCCCTGAGCTATGAAAATGCTCCAAATTTCAGTGCTCTTACACAAATGTTTCTCAAGATATTCAACCACAAATTTAGCCCTCCAAGGGAAAAGTGGCCCCATGGGTCCAATAGCTATTTTTGGTCCCTGATTGAGATAGAAAAGAGTTTTTGAGCTCAAATGGAAGCTTATACAATGCAAATCATATTTCATTGATGCACTTTTCTGCACTTTCATTACAAAGAAGCAATGGAATTTTTAGGATTTAAAAAAGTAAAAATTTTATATTTTCAAATGGTGGAAATCATGGTTGCACAATGAGCTTTTATGCCATTGCAACACACTAGCCAATAACAATGAAAATATCTCAATTTTAACTAGACAAACACTGTCAATCACTTCACCAGGTTTAGCATTTATACTTGCATGTTGATTAACACTTGCCTGACTTAACTTTTGATTGGTTGATTTGTCACAGAATATTACTCAAATGTTACCAGCAAGGTATGAGAAATCCTTACCTGTACCTGCAAAAATAGAAGCTGCCTCTTCAGCACTGACCTCGTACTCTAGGAGGCATGGGCCTTGACAAGCTGTAAACTGCATTGTGATCATATGGCTGAATTACTTATTACTGAAATATGGAGGCAAAAATGAAAAGGAGAGTTAAGAACTGTTACTCCATCATCTTTGTCTTCATCTTGGGCCATGCTCATTCCTTTTTGCTTTCCTCCCATCATATCTCTACTATCACAGAATTTTAGAATCAGTCTTACAGATTTGAATTAGGCTCCATTCATTGGTACTTTGCAATGCTAGTCTGTGTAATAAGTAATGACTGTATGTGCATGGCTTTATACTACCCCAAATTATAGGAAGAGCGAGAAAGGATGGAAGAAGCTCTTCGAAAGCAGTCAGAGAAACAAGGCCGTGAAAGGGATAGGTCAGGGAGACGAAGGAGTCGAAGTCAAGAACGAGACAGAGATAGGTATGCCACTGCTTCTCAATTCATTTTATTAGCATGACTTAGCTTTGAAAATGGAGTTTACTTGTACTATTATTCTGCAGGCTCAGAAGTCGTGATCATGACCGTGACCGTGATCGTGACCGTGATCGTGACCGTGACCGTGACCGTGACCGTGATAGAGACAGGGACAAGGACAAGGACAAGGACAAGGAGAGGGAGAGGGAGAAAGAAAAAGAGAAAGAGAAAGAAAAGGAAAAGGAAAAAGAGAAGGAGAAGGAAAAGTCATCTCGACACTCCAAGGCAGATTCCTCTGAGACAAAGGACAAGCCAAGAAAATTCAAAGAAGAAGCAGGGGGAGAAGTAAGCCTAAGGCTTCAAAAATTAAAAATATTGATTTCGATATTGTGATTTGTTATGAAGATTCAAATGCTGCTGTACCTTACTATATCTATACCTGATATATCACTGATGTCATAATTCAGTCCCTTTAAAATAATTGGCAGCCATGGCATGACAAGGATGTTCGTGGGTTGTATTCTCACTTTTCTCTATAGAGTCCAAAGAGACGACGCTTCACAGAAGGAGGAGAAGGTGCTGATCAGATTAAGGAATCCCAAAAATTGGCAGAAGACAAGGAGGGGAAGAATGAAGAAACAAGTCTTGTGAATGGAGAGGAGCTCAATGACCAACCTGGTGTACCTGGTGAAGAACCAGTGTAAGTACTTCCTTGGTTTGTATGATTTCATGATGAACAACTATATGAAATGTTATTCTGATTATCACAAATCTGTTCTATATATGTTCACAATATCTCTGCAGGTGATTTTTTTTTCATCATCATATTGCCTCTGGCATGCATGCCTGACTGATTGAAAAAAAAAAAGTTTAAAAAGAAAGTTGTCATCACTCTGTGGTGCTCCCATGTACTATCAGGTCTATGGAACAGAGAAGTAACATTAGGAAAGTAAAACTAAGATACTTGCTTTGCCATGTGGCACTCCCCAAAATTATTATGCTTAAGAAGCAGAGGTGGTAATGGCAGGTATCACACTGTGACAGAGATTGGGATAAGTTGGACTTTTTGTATCTGCATCTCAGGCTCATTATCTACATAAATTCTTGGAGCATTCTCTGTACCAAAGATGTCAGTAGATGTAGATAGGGGCATCAAAAGCATTTTTTGCTGTATATGACACTCTTTGTCAAGGTCATATGAAGTTTCCTATCGAAGAATCCTATCATACTTCATTCATATGAAGTATGATAGGATTATCCCTTATAAAAATAGATATTTTTGTGAAAGCATATCCCCCCTCTACCCATTTACTTACTGTTGTATAGCTATTTTGTTTTGTCCATTAAGGTTTCAAACCTCTTTTTAAAGCTAGTCATAAGAGAGGGAGCCACTTCATCATTACATAATGTGTCAAGTCATTCCCTTCCCTACCAGTAGAGAACACATTCCCCAACCTAGGTCTCACTTGAGGTTTATGTTCCTTGAATTTGTACCCTCTCATTCTGCTGCTACCTTCAAATCAGAAAATGCTATTGTCTGAATGTCATCAATTCCCATAATGTCTTGATGAGGCCCCCCTGTTCACCTTCCCTCCAGTGAATACAGTCGTGACCTTTGTTATGCCACAGAGATGGCATTTTTCTCCATGAATTATTTTGTTCCAAGCAAATCAGTATGACAAGGGCTAATGCTTTGTACTACTTTTATCATTTGTGTAGCCTGCCTTTGAACTCTCTCCATTGCTGTAGTTTGCAATAGTTTGCAGCTTCAAAAATNTTTTATCATTTGTGTAGCCTGCCTTTGAACTCTCTCCATTGCTGTAGTTTGCAATAGTTTGCAGCTTCAAAAATTGGCATAGTACTCTAAATGGGTCTTTTAGAGAGAAAATATTAATTTATGAAGACTAAAAGTGATTTTCACTCAAAAATATAAACTTAGCCAGAGAAAGTGTATGACATAGATAGATGTACTGAGTATGATGAAAAAACACCACACAGGATACATGTCCTTCCTGGGAAATTCTGATTTGTTGTCTTAGGTTCCCAGAAAGAAAATATATTTTTCCTATACTGCCTATGGGACTTAAAATTTGCAGACAGTGAAAATTCTATATTCTTCTTATTTATCATGGTTTTTTCACCTATAAATCCTCCAAGCAGAACTTTGCAACTGGCGTAGCCTCCAGTGTCTATTTTGGAAAGGAGCAATTGCCCACCTAATTTAAACTGCTGGCATCCTAGTATTTTGAATATGTCTCCACTGTAAATCTGAGTTTTTTCCATCCCTTGGTATCTAGCCAATACAAGATAATTCAGGCATGGACATCAAAAGGTTAAGAGCAGTCTCCTGTCCAAACAGGACATTGTCCATCTGCATGTTGTGGTTGCTGTTCAATAGTGGCTTGCAGATCACTTGTAGAGAGGAAATTATATTTCATCCTATGACTGACTTTTTCTTGAGCGTTGGCCATGAAAGAGCTCACTTTTGTTTTAGGTTTTAGTTGTGGTCTTTTCTGCTTTTTGAACCCACTTCGTTGAAAACTAAAAAGGACCCATTTTATTTTATATAACAAATAGAACTGATGCATTGAATAATTCCTTTGGCTTTCTCAGTCAAGATTTATTGTATGCTGACTAGAATTGTACAAAAAATTTGTTTGAAATGTCACTTTTCTCTGGATTTTGGTGTGGATTTCTTTAATCATTCTCTAGCATTATTCATTCTAATGATAAGAGAAAAATTTGCATGTCCCTAATCAGAAGATGCTGTCCTCTCAACTTCTCTGTTGTCTACTTTTTTTTTAAATAAAAACATTGGCTGAACCTTTGAAAAACATATATACTGTACCAAAGGTGAGACAGGTGTCAGAACCCTTTTCATGGAAAAGAATATGAGAGAGATATCAGGGAAAATGAAGAGCACTGTGGAACAATTGTCATAACTCATTGACATCATGTAAAAGCTGATGCTTACTGCATGGCATTTAGTTTCAATAATGATGCAATTCGCATCTGTGACTAAAGGGTTTCTTGCTTGATTCAACCTCATGAATTGACAGCATCACATGGTGGAACACCTGTTGTATTTGATTCATCCTGAGAAAATTAGAATTTTGCATCCTATTGTGAATTATTATTGCTAAAGCTTTTATGTTTCTTCATTCCAATTTCCTGACTCCATGTTCTTTCACTCCATGTAGAGGGTCAGTGCTGGCTGGAGTTGGTGATATGCCAGGCTCACGCTCTCCCTCGCCTGCCCTTGAGCAGAATGGACCAACACACCAGTCAGTTTCTTTTTTAAATGTTTTTTTGCAAGACTCCTAAATTTGAAGAGAGCTGAGGCTTTTTATGCAATAAAAAATGTATTATGAAAATAAATTTGAAATGCATAAGCCAGTGGTGCTCAACCTGTGGCTCGCGAGGCCCTAACCCACAATAAACACCCTTAGGTTTCCTTAAAATAGTCTACTACAATACTAGTGACTACCCCACAACAGCTGTGGGAGTGAACTATGTGGCCTACTAGCTAGAAAGGTTGGGCACCACTGGCATAAGCCCTCTCAAAGGAGCGTGGAAGAATAATGCCTTCTTGGTACCAACAATTACTCACACTTAGTTTCCAGGCATCGTCTGTTGGGTTATCCAAATAGAAACTCCTTCTCAATCACTTATTTCTCTGGGGTGGAGTATTTTAATAGTATGAGCTGATAATAAAAATATTTTATCTGATATTGCTCATGGAATCATGAGAAAATTATAAGTGTGATGGGAGATCAAGAAAGAAAAAATGAATAATGCAATAGCCTGTATAGTGGGTGGCTGCAGCAGTGTAACAGGACTGGGAGAGGAAAAGAGATGATCCTGATAGGTCCTGTTGGCTCCTGTAGGTCTGTAACTCTGAACTGATTTAGCAAGAAAGCCTATGACCACTAGTGGGTTTCATATCTTGTTTTTATTCATTCCACTTCCTTCTTCATACCTGAGCATTTGTAGGCTATAGCAATGAAAACTTTTAACTTATGTTGCAAATGAGTGTGATTAGTTGATTGTTAAAGTCTCTTGTTCTACTAACTTTCACCCTGGAAAAAACCTAGTAGGTCCTTATAAGAGGATAGGGAACGAGAATATAATAAATTAGTTATATTAGATACTACCAATGTCCTAAGGAAGCTTCCCATTGAACTGGACTTTATCCAGCTTTTTCATTGCATAAGTTGGAGAAGCCTCATTGTAAACATATACTACAGCCATTTGCTAATCATGGATTCCATTTCATTTCTCAATATGCAGGAGTGCCAAGAATGCAAAGGTTGATAAGTCACCAGCACTTGAACAGAAGCAGCAACAGAGATCCAATAGGGCATCCAGTAAGACGTGAGTGACATGCAGCTCATCATTGTACCTATAGGGAATCACCAAAATAATGAAACTAATCTTACAATTTTCCAATATCCTCCTTTCAGTTCATCAGGATCCAGATCCAGGTCAAGGTCACGGTCACAGTCAAAGAAGTCTTCATCATCTAGCTCTCAGTCAAGGTCTAGGTCCAAATCCAGATCTCACTCTAGGAGCCACTCCTCATCCATCGAGATAGGCAAAGGAAAATCCAATGAAGATTTTGAAATCACAAAGAAGAAGGATTCCATCCAAGCCAAGAGGCATTACCGAAGTAACAAAGATTCATCAGGTGATGAAGATCGAGATTCCAAACGTGTAAGTGCTTCTGGGTGCTTTATCATCGTTGTAGTAGTTATTTTGAGTTGGGCTTATGAAAAGTAAGAAACATGTCAGCATGAAAAAGTACTTTCTGTTCTGCTATTAGAGCAAAGAGCATTGAAGCATCAGTTTTTTTAATGCTTAACACATTGTTAGGGCAGAAGAATGTTTCATACTTCTAGAAGAGCACTTGAGAAAGGCACTTTTTATTGAACATGAGGCAGTGCACGGTTCATGTCCTCTTGTTCAAACATATACTCAATAATTCACCATTGGATAGTCCATTACTAGCTATGTATATTGTTATATGTTACATGGATGTTATATGTAATATGGATGTTGATGAATGTCTTTTCCACCAGAACAACAAATGCTCCCTGGGCAAACAAGATTTCCATATATGTTGATATTTTTCTTCTAACATATTTTCTTGTATTTTGTCTCTCAAGTACTGATATGTGCATGTATGTTCATGGGTGGACAAGATTTACCGAGTTGACAGCATCAATCCATTGAAAGGAAGTGCTGGAAGAAGTAGGGCACAGGACTCCATGTTGTGGAAGAAAAAAGGAAACTAAGCAGCACATGCACAGACCTGGTAGAACAATAGAACACAAAGTCCAGCTGGAGTGAGGAAGAGAGATGTATAAATGGAGTAGTTTAAATGTAAGAAGCACATATACTTGGTGATAATCCAAGTGGGACTCTATAGTTCAAAACCAACAGAACCAGCAGCAAGGATTTTTGCCTCAATAGCATGTGTTAGTATTGCCAAGAAGTTTTGAACAAAAAATGAGGGGGAGGAAAAGCTGGAGGAGACATTCTGGTTGTTATCAAAGCCAGTCTGTATTATCCCCCCTCATCTCTTTCTGATCTTGGAAGTATGAGGAGTTAGTGATGGATATTTTTCCTGGCTGCCCCTTTGGTGATATGACCTTGAAGGGGGTATGAAGAATGGAAACTTCCATGGAAAATTAACCTCACTTTCCCTTCTCTAATCTCTGGTGGTATTGCCTCTCAAACACTGCATATATGACAGATGATTTCTATAGTGCATAGAGCCATTAACTGGGAATATTAAGATGCCACCTACATGCTGCAAATTCTAGGTTGTTGAAAGCTGTAGGATTTTAACACATTACCATTAGTAAGCAGTTTGAGTAGGCACATCCATCTTGACCCCAGGTTTCAGGTAGACATTTTTATTGATATCCTGTGTACTAACATAGGATTAGGAATGATGTCTATGGACCTCTACCATATATGTGATGAAAAGCTAAGCTCCCTTTGGAAATGGTTTAAATGTCACATACCCCATCATAAAATTACTGTTTCTTATTTGCCATTTTCATAGATAGGCCTCTTAGCTGGAGGGAGTTGTTGCATAGACTGGGCTGTGTATGGTACTTATCAGCATGAACATTTAGTTTCATTAGTCTAGGTGGCCATACAGGGTCCTAATTTGACATTCCTTGTCATTGTAGAAATGTCAGCAAGGGAAAAAAGGACCATAAAGCCTTTGCTATTCACAGGCCCACAGCCACAAGGTCACAGGTCACACAATGCAATCAATAAGTGTGATATGTGAAGATTATTTCCATAAGTCATTACTTAGGGATTATTCTCACTTTTCTGATGGCAAATGCAAGGTCAGTGACATTTTGGTCAAGTAAGAGTCTTCCCCATTTACTTGAGCTTTGGTCATACTTGACACCAGTCATGAGAATGTCTTTCTCACAAGAACTTCAAGCAATGATAAAATATGCTTCAACTCCTTCAGCTGCTTCTCTATTCCATTTGAGAAATCAGTTCATGCACAGTTATGATCAAAAGCTAAATTAAGTTATGAAGAGCCATACTCACTGAAAGTTTTAGACTGGCTTGCATATGATACTGAAAAATTGTAATTTTATGTTTCACAGCATTCTTTCTGGTTCAGAGTCATGAGCAACATCTCATCACTTGTAACTACAACAGACTCAAGCACCAACACTTTTGCTGATACTTGCACCTGAAGCTCTGTGATTCATAAGTCTCTGTGTAACATGTCTAGGAGGACAGAAGGCATGATAGAGACCGGGATAGGCGTCGGAGTCGCTCTCGTTCTCGTCGGCGACATAGCCGATCTGGGTCTCGTTCTTCCCGGCGTAGACGGACTCGATCTCGATCCCGTTCAAGAGAAGAGAGAGAGCGAGAACGAGAGAGAAGACGGGAGCTGGAGAGAGAACGAGAACGGCGGAGAAGGAGCATAGAGAGACGAGAACGAGAGAGAGAAAGGATGAGGCGAGAGAGAGAACGTGAGAGGGAGAGGAGGATGATGGAGAGGGAAAGGGAAAGGGAAAAGGAATTGCGGGAGAGGGAGCGGGAGCGTCGACGTATGATGGAAGAGCGAGAACGACGAGAGAGGGAACGAGAGCAAGAAAGAGAGCGCAGGAAACGGGAAGAGGTGACACGCAGGAGGTCTTCTTCCCCACAACCTCTACACAGGTTAGTGTCTTGTTTACTAGATGTTTTAACCAGATGGATAGGTTTAATTTCTTCTGCAACTTTACCTGAACCCACATCATAATACACCCACACTGCGTGTAATAGGTTGCTTGAACTTGGTATACACTGGGCTAAGGGAAACACATAAGTTTTCAATCATTCTACTTGTTTACAAGGCTGGACCTATGACAAAAGGCCTTCAAAGTCATTCTTATTTACATCTAGGCATGCAAGTCCATTGATACCCGATGGGCTAACCTTTAATCAGGCCCATTTAGCTGTTTCTTTTACCCTTTTTTAGACCTGGTGTACACACCCATGTACATAAACTTTTTACAAACATTTTTCATTAAATGACTGAGACCATTTGTACATCAGTATGTACATTCAATCCCTCATATACTATTACATCTAAAAATTTGAAAAACTCTTTAAATGACTTCTTTTCATATCACAATCCCATATTATAAAGGAAAACAATTAAACATTATCAAAAGTAAATCAGGTCTGAAGGGATTAAGCTTGATGTGATCCAACTATCTCAACTGAAAGAACAGTCTACCTTTCGTACGAGAGTGGTTCAAACTTAACCTTAACTTTTGTTTATAAAAGGCAGAGGAATGTATGTAGATAAAAATTTGGGGGGAATTAGTCTTTATATTGTTAATCCATATCCACAGTCATGTGTTTCCTGCTTTATTACTTGTGCTGATAATGGTCTAGGCTTAGCATGGCTAATTATCTCCTATACCTTTATAGATTGATACTAGGAAATCTACATGGAGGCAATTCAATTAACTATTTCTCGGATGCTGGAAATTGATGAATGACACAAAATATTTGCATGAAATTTTAAAATGTTTTGTACTATTTGTGTCACATATTTGCCACATATACCAAGGACTCAATCATCAAATGTACATTTCTTTCTGGAATAGTGATGTCATTTTTTTTATGGATATAAGAGAATTTGTTCTGAGCATATAATGTTCTTAATGGGATGTCCAGGTTCTGTGATTATCTACTTATAATCCTTCATTCTCAGCTGCTTTACTCATTTCTTAAATCTAAAATCAGATCTGAGTCATTAATATATCAAATATCTGAAGGAGGAAAATATATATATATATTGTGTATTGATTTTCCATCTTTGTTAATATGGCCTTGAATATGCTTATAGTCTTGAGCTAATTTTCAATTACAGGACTGCATCTCCAGGGCAGAGGAGTCCTTCTCCTGCTCGGGGCAAGAGATCTCCTGATCGTGTAAGTACACACTCCCATTCTTAGGTCCTCTACGAGCCCTTAGGAAAAGCTGCTTCTGGGGGATGAGGGTATTAGTAAAAGTATTAGTTCTCAAATTTTGATCATGCTTATTGTCACATTTCATTTTGGTTCCTAATGATGATACTGCTGTATTTAATGTGCATCTTCACAGGTTGTAGAAATACACTAAACCCTTTGAGACCCAGTATCCACATGGGGACATATTTAAATTAATTTTTAGCAGTTGTCTGTAGCATTCTCTCAACTTTGGAGTCATTTTATTAACATATTGACTCAGGTTTACATGTGAACAAAAATCTGAGACAATAATAATCAAAGAAAAATAGACACAAACCAAACATAGTGAAAGCAAGGAGTTAAAAATTAGCATTCATATTTCTACTAATTTCTACCCCTACGGTACACATATGGCCCAGGTTTTAGGGGTTAATTGCTGTCTACTATTTGCATGAGATTATGCAGCTGCTGAATGTCAACTGAGATGGAAGTTTAATTCTCCCAAGTAGAGACCAATCAAGTTTGACTGCATAAAAATGCTATATTTCTCAAGATGAGGTGCTTGATATGCATGTAAAAAGAGCCTTAGTGTTGCAAAGCCCAGAAATGAAAGCATACTTTGGAATGAATGCTTGATATTTGTTGTTTGTTGCAGAGAGGAAGTTCAAGATCTAGAGAAAGGGACTTGAGAAGGGAAGAAGAAGAGAAAAGGCAGGCAAGAAGGACAGGCCGTCATGAGAGCGAGAGTGATACTTCAAGACGATCCCTTTCTCGCACCCCATCACCTTTCCAGAAGGCAGCACCTCTACCTGACAGGTCTGTTGTAAAAATTGCCTCATGTCATTGTGGTGTGATTATTAAACAGCCACAGATATGTCAATGCATGTGCATTGCTTCCTGAGAATATAAGGGAACTTAATCAGTTACTCTATGTCTCAGTCTTTTATGCACATCAGCACTTTGACTGCCATACAACCTGCCAACAGGTTGTAGCCTATTCTTCAGGTGGGGCTGTACAACTCACTGGCAGGTTTGTATACTGAATGCACTCTTATATGTTCTGTATTTTTGTGGCTGCAGTCTACGGCTTTTGCTCTTGTACTGAGGCCTCCTAAGTCTCTATGCCACCTTACAAATGAAATTCTGACATCCTCTGTTTAGTTTGAGAATGAACATCATGAACGTAATGATAGTGTCATCGATACGCAAATTGAAAATGGAGAACTGATCTTCACCACTTGTAGATGTTATCATCTCTACAAGATTTGCCGGTAATTGGAACCATCATGGTTCTTCTATGATTTTGGATATTAATTATTTTTTGCTCTTACCCATTAATGTCAAGCATATCTGTCCCACCTGTAACACCTGTCTTGTATGCTTACTATTAGGTACAGGTCTACAATTGCCCATGCTGATGCGAATTCTTGGCCCATGATAGGGGATGGGGGGTGAAACAATTGCAAAAGCTCGCTCATTTGAAAGGCAACATTTCAAATCAAAATTGTCGCACCTGTAACATTTTCTGTTAACTCTTTGACAACTGCCATGAATTTTAATTAGAAAATGTATGCTGGTTGGCATAGTGGATGATAGTAAAATCTGAAAGTGTAGTCTCCTAGGTCAAACCATTCCAGGGATAATCATGTCAAAAATTTTGACAAATGGCCAAAATGATGCATACTAAAAAATTCCAACTCTGTTAAATATAAGCTCTTAAAAATAAATGTTTGATGATATGAAACATGCATATGATAATGCAATATTCAGAAATTAATCAAATTTATAACATTTGTAACATTTGTTTCTCTTGTAACTTTTGTTACAGGTGGGACAAAAGTACCATGCAAATGCAGGATAACTTGAAATCATAAGTTTCATCCCTTGGGATGGTTACTAGAATACAGGTTGGGCCAAAAGTTTTTGCCCCTGTATAAAAATGTGAATATCTCCTGAACGGTTTGGGCTACAGAGTCGAAAAAAAAAAACTTTTTCTTTCAATTAAAGTAGAAGAAAAACTTTTACATACCAAAATCCAAGGATGTAAGTAAACCTCTACTCACATGGCCGTTAGAAAAAAACATACCAAAAAAAAAAGTTGCCAAAACAAACCTATACTGTGCCGCCCGCGGAAATCATCCTCAGCAGCTGGCTGAGGATGTTTTCTTCCTTCCTAATTGCTCCCTACCTTCTTTCCCTTCTTCATAATGTGAGGATGAAAATTTGAAGACTTTGATGCTTGATTTAGATAACCGACCAGCAGAAGATCGTGACAAAAGTTAAACGACCTCCGGTGGTCTACTCCGTGCGTTGTGCTGAGTGCTCGTCATTGGAGTGTTAATTTTTTTTTTTAACCTTTTTTTTTAACACTTATTCAGAAACCCTTACAGGGAAAATTGGTCACAGCGTCAATGTTTTCTGGCGTTCTTGCTCTTCTGGTAAGGGATTAAGCTTGATGTGATCCAACTATCTCAACTGAAAGAACAGTCTACCTTTCGTACGAGAGTGGTTCAAACTTAACCTTAACTTTTGTTTATAAAAGGCAGAGGAATGTATGTAGATAAAAAATTTGGGGGAATTAGTCTTTATATTGTTAATCCATATCCAGTCATGTGTTTCCTGATTTATTACATATGCTGATAATGGTCTAGGCTTAGCATGGCTAATTATCTCCTATACCTTTATAGATTGATACTAGGAAATTACATGGAGGCAATTCAATTAACTATTTCTCGGATGCTGGAAATTGATGAATGACACAAAATATTCGCATGAAATTTTAAAATGTTTTGTACTATTTTTGTCACATATTTGCCACATATACCAAGGACTCAATCATCAAATGTGCATTTCTTTCTGGAATAGTGATGTCATTTTTTTTTATGGATATAAGAGAATTTGTTCTGAGCATATCATGTTCTTAATGGGATGTCCAGGTTCTGTGATTATCTACTTATAATCCTTCATTCTCAGCTGCTTTACTCATTTCTTAAATCTAAAATCAGATCTGAGTCATTAATATATCAAATATCTGAAGGGGGAAAAAAAAAAAAAAATATATATATATATATATATAAGCAAGATGGAAGGAGAAACCGCTTCACGGCCAGTTCTCCCAAGTAGAGACCAATCAAGTTTGACTGCATAAAAATGCTATATTTCTCAAGATGAGGTGCTTGATATGCATGTAAAAAGAGCCTTAGTGTTGCAAAGCCCAGAAATGAAAGCATACTTTGGAGTGAATGCTTGATATTTGTTGTTTGTTGCAGAGAGGAAGTTCAAGATCTAGAGAAAGGGACTTGAGAAGGGAAGAAGAAGAGAAAAGGCAGGCAAGAAGAACAGGCCGTCATGAGAGCGAGAGTGATACTTCAAGACGATCCCTTTCTCGCACCCCATCACCTTTCCAGAAGGCAGCACCTCTACCTGACAGGTCTGTTGTAAAAATTGCTTCATGTCATTGTGGTGTGATTATTAAACAGCCACAGATATGTCAATGCATGTGCATTGCTTCCTGAGAATATAAGGGAACTTAATCAGTTACTCTAGGTCTCAGTCTTTTATACACATCAGCACTTTGACTGCCATACAACCTGCCAACAGATTGTAGCCCATTCTTCAGGTGGGGCTGTACAACTCACTGGCAGGTTTGTATACTGAATGCACTCTTATATGTTCTGTATTTTTGTGGCTGAAGTCTACGGCTTTTGCTCTTGTACTGAGGCCTCCTAAGTCTCTATGCCACCTTACAAATGAAATTCTGACATCCTCTGTTTAGTTTGAGAATGAACATCATGAATGTAATGATAGTGTCATCGATATGCAAATTGAAAATGGAGAACTGATCTTCACCACTTGTAGATGTATAGTAGAGATGTTCTAAACGGCCATTAACCTTGGTAGTACCAAGAAGATACTAAAACCTATAATTAATAAAAAACGAGAATGGGTAATTACAGTTCGTATAGACAGGGTGGACATTGTGGACAGAACTATGCTTACCATTAGGTACAGGTCTACAATTGCCCATGCTGATGCAAATTCTTGGCCCATGATAGGGGATGGGGGGTGAAACAATTGCAAAAGCTCGCTCATTTGAAAGGCAACATTTCAAATCAAAATTGTCGCACCTGTAACATTTTCTGTTAACTCTTTGACATCTGTCATGAATTTTAATTAGAAAATGTATGCTGGTTGGCATAGTGGATGATAGTAAAATCTGAAAGTGTAGTCTCCTAGGTCAAACCATTCCAGGGATAATCATGTCAAAAATTTTGAGAAATGGCCAAAATCATGCATACTAAAAAATTCCAACTCTGTTAAATATAAGCTCTTAAAAATAAATGTTTGATGATATTAAACATGCATATGATAATGCAATATTCAGAAATTAATCAAATTTTTAACATTTGTAACATTTATTTCTCTTGTAACTTTTGTTACAGGTGGGACAAAAGTACCATGCAAATGCAGGATAACTTGAAATCATAAGTTTCATCCCTTGGGATGGTTACTAGGATACATACCAACATGTATGACAATTAACAATCAAAACAAGGCTGGCATGACAACTGTGCACCAAAATGGGTGCATCATCGGTAATACCGCTGAGACCCAGGTACACACATGTGCAGGGTAATTCCACAAAAACAGGGACATAAATTTCAAGTTTTTAAATCTTGTATTTGATGCCAATCAATGATGGGCAGTTATATTTGATGTCTCTACACTGCACACAAGCTGTACCCAAGTGCAATGCAACAAAATGGAATTTAACTAAAAACTTTGTAGACTGAATATTCTTTGGCTGTTCTTTGTATCTTGAGTCACATTAACATGAGCCATGGCCAACTTTTATCATTATTACTCTTACAGAAGATTCTGCAGTTTAGACATCATGGGAGATGTCCTTCATCTTCATCTTTGCCCTGAAAGGGACTGAAGTGGTGCTTTGGAGTTTCTTCAAATAAAGCAGATATTTGCTTTTGAAATTATGCTCCTAGAGATTGTGTCCTAAATATTTAACATGAAAGACAAAAGTACTAATTCATTTTGCTGTACTCTGAAGTGCATTAATTAAATGAAATTACTTTAATCATCTAAAGGTCAATGCCTACTACTGTATTTATTGTGGAAATTCTGTTGTGAAAATTGAAGGACTGAGTGCAGTCCTTCCAATTGCCAAAAAGTTTTTCAAAAATGTAACAAGTCACAATGGAATCCTGATGGAAAAAAAGCTTATTTGGTTCGCATCTTATCTCAGGTTCATAGGCAAATTTTGCCATTTTTCAGTCAAAGTTTGGTGCAATACAAACTTGGCAGCACTACATGGTATCATGGCAACTGCCAGGAAAAGTTAGTTCCATTAGTATGAATTATATTTCAATTTCTTTTTCCAATTGCAGAATAAATTCTTAAAGGCATCTTTGAGACAGAAATGCACACTTGTTCAGCAATCATGATCATGTAGTACTAATTCAGATGTAAGGGAATATCAATGTTAACAAAAGGTAATAAACATTTTTGGCAAAAAAAATTGAAGCGAAGATTGCATCACCATTTTAATTTGTAATTTGTCAGATTCATAATACTTTTGAAAATCATCTTAATTTTAAGGAATTGAAATTTTTTAAATTAAAATATTCAAATACAAAAATAATTTAAACTTAAAATGGGTGGTGACCAAGACCACTGAAAAATTTAGTGTTGCACCTATCAAAAAATTTTTGTTGTTGTCAGGACACCTATGCATCACTGTGATATTGCCCTGCTTATTTCTGTTTCTCTGACTAATTCTGTTTTAAAGAATATGTATTCCTTTCAAGAAAAATAACCTAGACAATGACCATTGATTCAGATCAGAATCTGCATGATTATTGGAAGTAGGTGTAACCAAAAAATTTGTCACACCCATAGCACTTCTAGGGCAGTAGTTGAAAACCATGATGAGGTAAAATTAAACTGTACTCGCATGTGTACCTGAGATAGGAAACCCAATCCACAAGTAGCATTAAGCCGAGCCAATTCTACATGTGTCAGGTGGACTTGAAACTTGTTGTTATGGATGGGACATCTTCATTGCTGTTGATTACTTCAAACCGCAATACAGATAATCTTAGGGGTCATGGAGCTCAACCATACTAGACTTATATGCTGGAGAAAATCAGAAATGTTTCCAGATTGCCAGAAAGTTTTGCTGCAAAATTTTCTATTTTATTCTCCTGGGAATTGCTCCTTTTTAGCCTGATTCACTCTAGGATGTATATTTATGGGAAAGGATTCAATATATTTCAGGAACTTGTCTCTTCTTTTGTTGAATAATATTTAGGATTAACCTTGTTCCAGAGTGTCATGGGCATTCAATGTGTTATGTCATCTTTTTATTTATTTATTCCATGTTATATTATTTTCATGTAATATCATTAATCACAATCATCAATGTTCCTTATTTAAGCTTTATACCCATTGATTTTATGCTGGGATTTTCCAGTAGTGTTTGGTGAATGTTGACAAATTATACTTTTATAATTGGGATATGTGAAATGTCAGACAGTCTTTTTACTGGGTTCATCTTGGTTTTTTCCTTGATCCCTGGTGGTGAAACATTTCATTGTGCCTTTGTATTGGCTGAAAAATGAAAGAGTTGTTCATCAGGTCTGATATAGCTTTGCTTTTTCTTTAATTACCAATGGTTCCATGTGACCTGAGGTATTTTGGCATTTACATATAAGGAATTGGCTGGCCTATGGTCTTCTACTGCCAAAATTTAAAAAAATTGCTAGAAAGAATCAATATACAAGGGGCAGTCAAATGAAAATGGGATGTTCTCAATTGTGTGTGATTCACCCCATGTCCTGTCTTCTTTCAACTGTGCCTCATAGCTTATTTTTCATATGGGGGTGTATTGTATTTTGACATAAACAAGAAGTTGCTAAGTCACCATTAGACTTGAGTCATAGGTTCTAGTTTCAGACAAAAGCAATCATAAAATCCTTCCTGGTAACTCTTATACCCAAAATGTACCTGATTTCCTATTTGTTTAATTGGACTTGATATTTTGAATCTCTCCAATTTGTCAGTAAGTGGCTAAGCATATCAGGGAATAGGTTATAGCCCAATTGCTGAAACCTCCTTTAGTGTTAACAGTCCTTGAAGAATACATGGATTCCTATGGGAGAAAAATAGCTTATTAGCTTTAAGGCCCCTTTATCTCCCCTAAATGAGGTTTTTGCATTTGGGCCTAAGTTGTTACATTCATCCTAACTTCACAGGAAAATGGAGCAGAAGACTTCATGGCATATGCCCTAGCTAAATGACAAAATTCTCCTATATCTCATACTTTTGTTTTAAAAATAAGTCTGCTCTGCATGAAAAAGTTTGAAGAAGCTTGCAAAACCTGCTTATTACATTAGCTAAAGAAGCTTTTTAGTATGTGATTGTCAGACCCTTTTAATAAAAGCCATATAACTTCTCTTGGTCGTTTAATTGAAGAAACAAACCTAATAGCTCAAAAGCAGCATTACCTGGGAATGGTTATTAATGCTTAGAACTGGACCAGAGAACATATGAGCAAAGGGAAACAAATAATCCTTAGTTTGGCTTTTTTCACTTTTAGTCCAGATAATTTGAATGCAGGATTGGCTTAGGATGTTGCATGACAGGTATAGAACCCAAAATGTAAAAGAAATTTGGATGTAAAAGTCTGTTCATAGGAAAAAGAGCAGAGAAGGAATTATAATTCTTAAGCCAGAATAGGACTTCATGGATAGAAAACTCCTTCTGTGATGTCTGGGGTAGTTATGGGATGCCTACATGTCATATATTCCCTTCCATTTTGTAAAAAAAGATGTATTCATACAGCTTCTTCCAGCCGAAAGTGTTTCATATATGGGTTTTATTGAAAATTTGTCATACAGGCCAACATACTCTCATACCCTTAGCTTTATTTCATTCATTCATAAATTCATATTGTGGAAGGTGGTGCATATCTTGCAATATGAAATCTCAATGAATGTTTTTGATTGCCCACAGAAGTTCCCCAGAGCTAAAAGAAACTATGGCACGAAAACGCAAGGGTGCTCGAGATGTATCTTCGCCTGCACGCAAGAAACGGGCTGCCAAGTCAGTGCTGCTTCTTAAGCTAAACTGTTAACTGTGATTATCCTGGGTACAGTGTTCATGTCATCATAAATTGAATTAATTTCAGTGAGGAAGAGGAGGCAGAGCGTCGTGTGATTAGGAGGAGGAGCACAACTCCTCAGGAGGAGGCAGGAGAGGAGGATGAATCCGAGAAGAAAAAGAGGAAAAAACGAAAGAAGAAGAAGCTGGCACAGGAATCCTCATCTGAAGTGAATATTTAGCCAGTCACTTCATTCAAACCCATGCCCGTTTTTATTGGCTATGATCGGTGATTCCCCTTTCCAGGATTCTGAAGCTGAGCGAAAGCGGCGCAAGAGGAAAAAGAAGCAGAAGAAGTTGAAAAAGAAACTCAAGAAGCTCAAGAAGCGCAAACAAGTAAGATTGTGAATCCTACTCTTTCTGCACCTTTGGAAAGTTTGCCAAATGGCTACATTTCTGACATTCTCCTCGGCAGCAAAGTTCATCTGAAAGCTCAGGGGAGGAGGAGGAGAAGGCAGACGAAGCCGAAGAAGATCCAGCAGAAGAGATGGAACGAAAGCTCCGTGAAAAGGCCCTCAAATCCATGAAGAAAAAGAAAAAGAAAGCAGAAAGGAAGAAGAAGAAAAAAGTGTCGTCGTCAGAGTCGTCATCCTCCTCGCCAGAGAAGTCCTCGTCCTCATCTTCGGAGTCGGGAAGCGAAGACTCAGGCTGAGAGGTCAGATCTTAGCCTGTCGTCTGGGACTAAGAATGAGGGTGAACCAGCACGTGTGTGTTTGTGTATGTATGTACAGAATAGGAAGTGCTATGTGCAACAAAATGTAAGAACCACCTATAAAATAAGAAGGAAGAGAGGCAGTAAACAAAGAAAGTAAGACTTTAGGAGAGGTTGGTCGTAAGACTAAGTGACCTCATAACTAAGTGTTATTTACGACCTTCTGTCAAGTGTTTTCCACGTTCGTGTTTTTCCTTCCTTCTCAGCTTTCAGTATGATTCATACGGTACGCACTTGGTATCCTGGAATTCACTTTTCTTTAAATTAAAAAAAATTATCTGCTGAATAATCGGAAGCAGTTGAATGTACAAATGTACATCAACAAAGTTCTGTTCGTGTTTATTTTCCTGATTTCTGAATGATTATCCTGCAACAAAATATAAATGCGGGTCCATTCACGTATTCAGAAAGAGGGACATATTCTTGTTTTTTTTCTTCGTTTTTTTTCCGATGAGTTCAACGTCCCCGTCCCCCCAGTCTGAAAGTCTTGCATTTGTCTACGAAATTGCACAAAAGTGGCGATTAGGTAGGTTGATTCCTCTTTGTGTGTCGGGGTTTAGGGCAGGAAATGTTTAATTATACTGAAAGCCCGGTTTAATGTATAATTGATTCGCATTTATAGTCTCTCGGTGATTACTACAAATGGTTCGTGGGTAATTGGGTGGAGAAAAATGAGAGTTATTTTACTGCCTAGCAGCTTTACAGGTAAGCTTCTCCCGCATAGGAATGTAGCTCTCAATTATACCACTGCACTCATAATTATCCTCGTATTTTGAGAAGACACGAATCGCAGGCCCCTCACGGTGAGCACGCGCCTTAAGTCGTATTAGCGCAGGATACGATTAACCAGCATTGACTAATAGTGCGCATGCACGAGCATGTTGGGGTTTGGATGAGTCATCCTAGTGTAGCATTCCAGAATTAGTGACGAAATCAAACCCGCACCAAAAGTTTATTCGTCCGTCTGCGACCTTTACACGCAATTCGTAGTCTCTCTGGGGTCACTCAGAAAAATATTGGGGCTAGTACTAAGTCTTAGCAATGCGGCCCAAAAATATTCGAATGATCGTCAGCACTGCGATGGCGCGATGACCAGCCACAGTTGGGCCTTGAATGATTGAGAAAGTCTTCAATATTTACTTTTTCCTCGCTGAATAGGATCTGCATGGGTGAAATTAAGTCTGGATCGTACGGGGAAGGGAAGTATGAATAATTCCTTCAGCGCTTTCGCGATGAGTTCACACCCGAAAGGGCCCTGGCGCATATGGTGTTTCGACTCGAGACATCTATTGAATGCCTGTTCACGCCATACGTAAGACAGGAGGAAACGTTAGTTCGTCCCATAGAAAATAATGGTTTGCATTAAAAGGGTTTGTGAACTCATTGCGAAAGCATTGTATTGAGAATAGAAATGCGTAAATGTTTTTTTTTTCCGGAGCTGTTTCTTTGTAAAGAGAGCAGATTTACACCTACCCAGGGAACGCCGGATGAATCCAATGATTACGAAAACAAAACGTGGCCTAAGAGTGCTTTCGTTGCATCTGAGTCCAAGAATCAGTTCCATGGGTGGTACAGGAAACCAGGAGGCAGGAAGGAAGTAAGGAAGTTGCGTGGGTAGGTAGGCCTTCATTTGGAACGAGATGAAAGAGGCCTAAGGAGAGAGAGAGGTCGCTAGTNGCTTCTTCCAGCCGAAAGTGTTTCATATATGGGTTTTATTGAAAATTTGTCATACAGGCCAACATACTCTCATACCCTTAGCTTTATTTCATTCATTCATAAATTCATATTGTGGAAGGTGGTGCATATCTTGCAATATGAAATCTCAATGAATGTTTTTGATTGCCCACAGAAGTTCCCCAGAGCTAAAAGAAACTATGGCACGAAAACGCAAGGGTGCTCGAGATGTATCTTCGCCTGCACGCAAGAAACGGGCTGCCAAGTCAGTGCTGCTTCTTAAGATAAACTGCCAACTGTGGATTATCCAGGGTACAGTGTTCATGTCATCATAAATTGAATTAATTTCAGTGAGGAAGAGGAGGCAGAGCGTCGTGTGATTAGGAGGAGGAGCACAACTCCTCAGGAGGAGGCAGGAGAGGAGGATGAATCCGAGAAGAAAAAGAGGAAAAAACGAAAGAAGAAGAAGCTGGCACAGGAATCCTCATCTGAAGTGAATATTTAGCCATTCACTTCATTCAAACCCATGCCCGTTTTTATTGGCTATGATCGGTGATTCCCCTTTCCAGGATTCTGAAGCTGAGCGAAAGCGGCGCAAGAGGAAAAAGAAGCAGAAGAAGTTGAAAAAGAAACTCAAGAAGCTCAAGAAGCGCAAACAAGTAAGATTGTGAATCCTACTCTTTCTGCACCTTTGGAAAGTTTGCCAAATGGCTACATTTCTGACATTCTCCTCGGCAGCAAAGTTCATCTGAAAGCTCAGGGGAGGAGGAGGAGAAGGCAGACGAAGCCGAAGAAGATCCAGCAGAAGAGATGGAACGAAAGCTCCGTGAAAAGGCCCTCAAATCCATGAAGAAAAAGAAAAAGAAAGCAGAAAGGAAGAAGAAGAAAAAAGTGTCGTCGTCAGAGTCGTCATCCTCCTCGCCAGAGAAGTCCTCGTCCTCATCTTCGGAGTCGGGAAGCGAAGACTCAGGCTGAGAGGTCAGATCTTAGCCTGTCGTCTGGGACTAAGAATGAGGGTGAACCAACACGTGTGCACGTGTGTGTTTGTGTATGTATGTACAGAATAGGAAGTGCTATGTGCAACAAAAACATTCTTGGTGGATATTTTATTCTTCCTTCTCTCCGTCATTTGTTTCTTTCATTCTGAAATCCTCTCCAACCAGCATTCTGATTCACTGGAGTATTGATTCACAATAAATGCTGGAAGACAGTTCAATTTTCCACGTTCGTGTTTGTCCTTCCTTCTCAGCTTTCAATATGATTCATACGGTAGGCACTTGGTATCCTGGAATTCACTTTTCTTTAAATTAAATAATTATCTGCTGAATAATCGGAAGTAGTTGAATGTACTATGCATCAACAAAAGTTCTGTTCGTGTTTATTTTCCTGATTTCTGAATGATTTTCCTGCAACAAAATATAAATGCGGGTCCATTCACGTATTCAGAAAGAGGGACAAATTCTTGTTTTTTTTTCTTCGTTTTTTTTTTCCGATGAGTTCAACGTCCCCGTCCCCCCCAGTCTGAAAGTCTTGCATTTGTCTACGAAATTGCACAAAAGTGGCGATTAGGTAGGTTGATTCTTCTTTATGTGTCGGGGTTTAGGTCAGGAAATGTTTAATTATACTGAAAGCCCGGTTTAATGTATAATGTGCTCTTGATTCGTATTTGTAGTCTCTCGGTGATTACTACAAATGGTACATGGGTAATTGGGTGGAGAAAAATGAGTTATTTTACTGCCTATTAGCTTTACAGGTAAGCTTCTCCCGCATAGGAATGTAGCTCTCAATTATGCCACTGCACTCATAATTGTCCTCTTGTTTTGAGAAGACACGAATCCCAAGCCCCTCACAGTGAGCACGCGCCTTAAGTCGTATTAGCGCAGGATACGATTAACCAGCGTTGACTAATAGTGCGCATGCACGAGCATGTTGGGGTTTGGATGAGTCATCCTAGCATTCCAGAATTAGTGACGAAATCAAACCCGCACCAAAAGTTTATTCGTCCGTCTGCGACCTTTACACGCAATTCGTGTAATTCTCTGCAATTCGCAATTCTCTGGGGACACTCAGAAAAATATTAGGGTTAGCACTAAGTCTTAGCAATGCGGCCCAAAAATATTCGAGTGATTGTCAGCACTGCGATGGCGCGATGACCAGCCACAGTTGGGCCTTGAATGATTGAGAAAGTCTTCAATATTCACTTTTTCCTCGCTGAATAGGATCTGCATAAGTGAAATTAAGTCTGAATCGTACGAGGAAGGGAAGTATGAATAATTCCTTCAGTGCTTTCACGATGAGTTCACACCCGAAAGGGCCTTGGCGCTTGTGGTGTTTCGACTCGAGACATCTATTGAATGCCTGTTCACGCCATACGTAAGACCGGAGGAAACGTTAGTTCGGCCCATAGAAAATAATGGTTTGCATTAAAAGGGTTTGTGAACTCATTGCGAAAGCATTGTATTGAGCATAGAAATGCGTAAATGTTTTTTTTTCCGGAGCTGTTTCTTTGTAGAGAGAGCAGATTTACACCTACCCAGGGAACGCCGGATGAATCCAATGATTACGAAAACAAAATGTGGCATAAGAGTGCTTTCGTTGCATCTGAGTCAAAGAATCAGTTCCATGGGTGGTACAGGAAACCAGGAGGCAGGAAGGAAGTAAGGAAGTTGCGTGGGTAGGTAGGCCTTCATTTGGAACGAGATGAAAGAGGCCTAAGGAGAGAGAGAGGTCGCTAGTTGATATGCGGAGGGGAGAAGAGAGACCCCTTTTGGCTATGGGCTACACGCGATGACTCATCCCCTTCCCCGTGGATTGCGTCACACCTTGGTATACCCGTACACCCAGTCCCAGTCTTCCTTATCGCCCTGGCCTGTTGCAGCCTCCCGAATGAGGTTATCATTTCTGAATGGGATTATCATTCAATTACACTTCTCTTCTTTCACCCTTGTCCGCCTCTGCGATCTGACAGGAAAACTAGCTGCACTGTGAACCTCATTGCTGCCCGTCCCCAATCAGTATGGAAACATAGTCCCGGTCACAGCCGGACTGGGATGAGTTTTTTTTTTTTT